ACCGTGTAAATGGTACTCTCACCACAAATTTCAGTTTCTTCAATGTTTACTTCAAGGGACTTGACATACTCATCTTGAAATTCTTCATAAATTTTATTTGTGTAAACATCTGCAGCTTGCTCCATAATCTTCACTTTAATATTCACCCTGGGCAACTTTTGGCATAGAGCATATTCAGCTTGTAACTCTTTGTACCTTTTCTCAGACAGAACTCGATCAAAATGCATGAAAAATTGCATTAAGTTATGATCAGACCGAATGAAATCCTTCAAGAAAGCATTAAAGGATTCACTAAGTTGGGTGCTACTCATGCCCGCACCCCATGCATTTCTAACATATGGCCAACCCCATTTTTCCTTGACCCCAAATGTTAACTTCAACCAATGATTATCTGTTACTTCATACTTGTCAAGCATTTCCTCCCATTTTAACGTAAAATCATCCTCATCCTCAATGTCGTACATAAATTTGGATAAAACACTCTTCATCCCCTTATTCCTCATCTCCTTATCCTTGAAGATAGAATTTGCATGCCTTAATGCATTTTGCATCAAATGCCAAGTGCAAAGGCGATGTTTTGTGTTAGGCATGACAATAGGTATGGCCTTAGCCATTGCAGCATCTTGATCCGTAAAAATTGTTTCCGGAGCCTTACTTCACATTGCCTCTAAGAATCTTCTAAAAAGCCATATAAAAGAATCAGCAGTCTCATCATACATTAAAGCTGCGCCAAATATAACAGTTTCCCTATGATGGTTAAATCCAACGAAAGATGCAAATGGTCTATGTGCACTATTTAACTTGTAAGTAGTGTCGAAAGTGACAACATCACCAAATTGCCCATAATCCATGATCATCTGAGCATCGGCCCAAAATATGTTTGTAATCTGCTCCTCACTATCTAATTGGACCGAGTAAAAAAAAGATGGATTCTCCAATGTCTTCTCACGAAAATATTGCAAAATGCTACCTGCCTCCCCAAATGCTAAACTCTTTTGCCTCTTCGTTCTCAAATAATTTTTTTGGTCCACTTTTGTGAACCCAAGCGACTCCCTTCCACCAGCTTCATTACCCATAAGCTCATATGCAGCATTAAGCCGGATTCCAGATTTTTCAGCTAAATCTATTCCGGCTACCTGTGATGCAGATATCTTCCTTTGGGATGGTAACATATGCGTACATTCTGTTGGTACAAAAATATGATAATGTTGTTCAACAAACTCACCAACAAAAAATTTATGAATATTCCTATCCCACTTAATGATAAGTCGGGCTTGACAACCAGTCCTCACTTCCTGCCTAGAATTTTTTGTTAATGGATCTCTCTTGTCTATACCCCGAAACCCCTCCTTATTACAAACAAATAGCCTTGAAGTGATTTGCCCCCCCTTGTTCTTATTTACATAACCCCTTCTAATACTAAACCCCATCCTTCCTCCATAAGCATTATAGAAATTATATGCTTCTTGTTCTGTATCAAATGTCATGTGCACTCTAGGCTTCCAATCACAATCACCCCCGTCATTCTCAACATTGTTAGGTTCCATATCACTGTGCCAAGTCACTTAAAAAAATAAAAAAAGGTGCTCAATATTAGCATAAAAACTGTAAATTATGTTTGCAAAATAATACAAACTAAATAAAAACACTACAAAAATTGAATCATATTAGATTATATAAACAAAGGGGCACAAAGATGGTCTTTAATGTTAAATTATGTTTTAAATGATCCAGATTGAACACAAATTCCTTAATTTTCTTATAATCAACATGTTAACATACAAAATCAAAATTAAAATTAAACAACAAAAACAAACAAAATAAATGGATGAATGAAATGTAAGATACTTCTATTTATATACATTATCTTTGACTGCACCAAATGTTTAAAAAACAAACATCACTTATCAGCTATAACCTACAATTGCACAATGTTAACCATCTCTATTAAACAAAATGCCCAGAATTTTCCACACCTCCACGGCAAACAAAAAAGAAAGGGGTAAGAAAATCAACCAAATCGCTATAACCTACAATTACACAATATTGATCAAGATAATAGCTAAATTACTAATATGAAATAAATAAATAAATAAGGTTTGCCCAAAAGCACAGCCTATAAATGATGTGCAAAAAGCATAGAAGGGTTATAAACTTATATTTAAACAATACATATACTGAATTCATGACAACCATGATCAACTCAAAAAATGATGAAAATTTTAAAAATTAATTTGGTTTCATTTTCATAATCTATTTTTTTAAAACACTAAAAACTAATTTGGTGAAAAAATAATGACAATTTTAAAAACACTCATCATCATGTCATTGTAGTTGGCATGGTTGCTGAAATACCCCAAGCCTTTTTCTTTTAGAAATACCTCCATTTCTTCTTTCAGAAAGGACTAGAAAAAGAAGATTTCATGGAGGACTTACTATTCCATTTATTGAAATGGTTTTCTTTTTCAGACCTCTTTGCTAACTATGTCTCAATCACTGCCAGAATTCTTTCAATTTGGCAATCACAATCCTTCCAACAACTCTGCTTTTCTCCCTCCTCACAGATTTCGTGAACTTCCTTAAACAGTTCCATCTCAACCTCCAAAACGGTGGAAAAGAAAATTCATAAATAGTTATTGAAAATTCAAAGATATCTTTCTGGTGTTTATTTTCAGCAAACTAGTTTTTTAGTATTTTTCAGAAAACAGATTCTGAAAATGAAATCAAACCAAGATGCTCAAGAATGTAAAATTGCAGCGTATTTTTGTTTTTATGTAGACACACATTTCACTTTATCATCATTCATTTAGTCAAACGGTGGAATTTGTGAAAAATGAAGGACACTTTAAACAATACATATACATAAAAATTTGAGTCGAAAAAATTCTGGGAATTGTGCAAAGATTGGGGTATATATGTATAGATTTGTACAATGTTAAAAGGGATGAATGAAATGTTCCCACACCTCAGCGATGGCGGCAACGACTGGACGACGGCGGCGGCGACTGGACGGCGGCGATGGTGGCAATGGCTGGACAACACTCCCGTCACTCTTCTCTCTCTGACTTCTTCTCTCTTTTTTACATTCCCGCCACACAGCTTTGCTTACTGGAGGGAAGGATTTGGGAACTTTGAATCAGGTTTTATTTATTTTTTATTTTTTTATTTTTTTTTGAAATTACTAACCAAAACGATGTCGTTTTGGTTAGTTAGATTCTCAGCCATTGGATCAATACACTTCAGGGATCACTTCAGGCCAATTACTCCAGAGGATCCTGATACAGCAACCAGGGGCTCATCTTCCTCTTCTCCTCTGTTTTCAATTTCTCTCTTTGTTTATTTTTAAAATCAAGTAATGTATAAAAGTGATAATGGATTATAAATTAGAAAAGATATGAAAGGGATCATTTATTTTAATATTTTAATATACTGTTATTTAAAACGTGGGTTAACCCTAATTCAAATTCAACCCATAAATGTATAGGGAAAAATTCATGCAAGTTATAGAAAGGGAAAAAAAAAATTTATCAATACATAAGAGATACAAGTATGTTTATAATAAAATACAAATAAAAGATTATGAGGGTAATTTATTGGTAATTCTTTTCTCCTTCACCCCTATCTATAGGTAGTTTCCCCATAAATGTACTACTAGTACTATCATCTAAACACAACACTTGAACCAGACCCTGAAAGCCAAATTGCAAATCTGCAACAACATGGTATCAGCAGAAGTTTTTGGAGCTCTTAGAGATGGCTTGAAGTTGAACTCTGTCCAACAAACCGACATACTGGAATCTATATTGGTAGCATCTTTCACAATTGTCATAGTTCTCCTCATACTTCCATGTGAATACATAGATGACAGTCCAGTTCCAAATGTCATATTCAAGGGACTACCCGCCACCTTCCACGCATTCGTAGTGTGCTTGATCTTCTCCTTTACTGGCTCGTTGAGCGCGTTGTTAATCCATGACACCTCATTTCTTGCCAAGCTCTGTGAGTACTCTTCCATGGCTTTCATGGCATCTGCTCTATCTTTGTTGCTTTGTGCCATGTTTCAGCAACCATGGATCTCCCAGGTGGTGATGGTCTTAACTGCAGAAAATATTTGGTTTCGTAAACTTAGATAATGTTGTTGATTTTTTATTTTATTTTTTTTGACTGTCTTTGGTTAAGTCCTTCAAGCTTTGTTTTCCATACTTGAAAGTGGAATCAGCTAGCTGTAACATGTTTGATGAGTTAGTAAAGGCTTCGTTCTGTTGCCTTTAGAATATAGTTTGGTGTTGGCTACTTGCTTGTCTTGTTTGGGACATTTTTTGTTTTTTTTTTGGGTGTGTAGATATATTACTCTACATATTCAGCAAAGATGATTGTCCCTTTGTAACAACACCGTTGAAGTCAAAGCGAAGGCTCCCACGTGTTTTGAAGGCTAAAAAATATGTTTTTACTACTAGAATCTAGGTTGATTAAACCAACCTCGTTTGAGACTTTGGTTCAGTATATGATTAGCTTAGAGTATCCACAATAGAGCTGTTAAGGGCGACGTTAGTGTCAGTTGTTAATTTTTAACTAGTAAAGTTTGTTATTTAGTGCTGCAGTGGAGTTGCTAAGGGCAGCGTTAGTCCACCTTTTTAGTGTCAGATTTTAGATTGTTTGTTAATTACAGTGAGTGTTTTAGCCAGCGAAGGAAGAGAGAGGAGTGTGCCCGGGGAAGTCCTCCCGGAGGTCCTGTTAGAAGTCCACCCCCGACTTCCGGAAGTCCACTCCCGTTGTCTGGACCCTTGAAGAAAAGGAAAGGAAAAAAAAAAAAAATTAGGTCTTACTGGTTGATTGGCTGGATGTGTCAACTGAATTTTTTTTTTTAACTTGTTGGATTTTTTTTTGGGCTTGAAAGTTAATTTTGGGCTTGAAATTTTTGATTAAACTAAATTATTTATTTATTTTATTTATTATATATACATATATATATATATATATATATATATATATATGTATTCTTAAGACCTAAATTGTAGAGCAATAATTTTAATTTTGGGTTCAAAATTTTTACCTGCATAAGTGGTAACAACAAGCTCATACTCTTGGCCTAGCTTGACATCGACAAGATCGACCAATTCTTGCTGTTCCCTCTCATTGAGGGATTTGGGCATGGTGATTGAATTGGTGACACCATTGTTTCTGTGAACAGGCAAGAACTCGAAATAGGCCATGTTGGGAATGAGGGTATAAGAGACTTCACTGGGCTTGCAAAGAGGGTTGAGATTGACACCAAAGTAACACTCAGAGGAACCATACATGGTGCACACAAGAGGCAAGCCATTGCTATAGTAGTCAAGAGTGGGTATGTACTGTGACATAGTCCCAGTCACAATCACATCCACATACTTGGTGTTAGGCCACAACCTAGTAATAATCCCTTGCCATGACTCTCTCCCACATTCAGCCTCAACAAAATCCGCGAACTTGGTGTTCGGTTCGAGGATTTTCATCACGGCCTCCCTCACCGTCGGATCCGTAATTTGGGGATTTAGGGTCCCGGTTCGGATATCCGCGCAGAGGAGGGGCCAGTGCTTTTCGAGGAATCGGATTGCGCGAATGAACCCGGAGGCGAAGACCGCTCCGACCCGGAGGACTTCCTTGTGTTGGCAAAGGCCACAGAGCATTTGGGAGTACATGCTTTGGTAAGAGTCTGGGCAGAGAATGGTCTCATTTGGGCTAGTGTAGTTAGTATATGGGTCATAAGGCCTGTCCTTGAAATGGGCACTTTTGTAGTAGCTAGTCAAAACAGGACGAGCCACTAGTCCCCCAGGGGTCTTAGCCTCTGATTTTATGAACAAGAAGTACATTCCTTTGCCTTTGTCTAAACCAGGAACAAACTGGTTCATCACAGGCATCAAAAGCCCGTACATCAATGATCTCCTCCCAAGCTCTTCCTCAATGGTAGGCATCAATTTCCTCTCTCCACCAGACGTCCCAGAGCTACAAAACAAACAAAACCCATTTAGCAAAAACTATCTAAAAACCCAAAAAACACGAAAAAAAATTACTCAAGTCGAATACCTTGTGAGGAATTCAGAAATGGGTTGTGAGCAGAGGATTGGGGACATATCGCCATTGGCGATGCGAGTGATATCGGCCTGTATGTCCTCGTATTTGATGACGGGCATGAGTTTCTTGAAGGTTTCGCGATCGGTGTAGCCAGCGAGGCCGTGCCGCTGCAAGTACTCGACGCCAGCGTTGCGAGAGAGGATATCGGCGAGGAGTCGCTTCTGGACTTCGTCGGCGTTGGAAGTCACATCTTCGATGAACTGAAGAGCCTTCTTGTTTTTCTCTGAAGGAGTATAGTCCGTGCCACTAGGTGATTGTTTTGGAGCTTCCGGCATGGTTAGTTTCTTTCTTTTGCAGAGAGAGAGTTTGTTAGAGAGAGAGAGAGAGATTTGGGTGTGGAGGAGAGGGAGAGAAAGGGAGGGCTTTATATAGAGGGAGGAGGGAGAGGAAGGCGGTGTGGGTCTGTGGTCTAACTTTGAAGGATTTTTAAAAGTGCCAACAAAGTAGTAACAAGCACGGGTGTTCCAAAAAAAAAAAAAAAA